ACCATCATTTTTGCCTTGTTCGTTATATTGCCTAGTTCGCCTAGGTGGTATCCTGTATCTCCTTATTAAACCATCCATATTCCTTGATACCATGGCAATTTCTTCTTGAAGAGTTTCAGGGTCATCATCGATTTCATTGTCTGCTCTTTCAATTGTAGCCTTGAAAGGAATTGTTTTCTGCTTTTCTTCCTGGCTTGTTTTCTTGAGGTGAGTTTTCTCGAAAGCTATAAGTTCTCCGCAAAGTTCATCGTATGATAATTTGTTCAAATCCTTTGATTCAAGTGTAACCACTTTTGTATACCAAGTGGTGGGTAGACTTCTCAGGATTTTCCTAACTTGATCACCACTTAAGTATAGTTTGCCAAAAGCGTTTAGATCGCTAATGATTTTGCTAAATCTAGCAAACATCTCTTCAATGGATTCTCCTTCTTTCATCTGAAAAAGTTCGTAGTCATGAACCAACATGTTGATATGGGTTTCTTCCACTTTACTAGTTCCTTCATAAGTAACTTCAAGTTTGTCCCACATCTCTTTGGTTGTATCACAACTGGAGATATTCTCATATTCTTCTCAACTTATAGTATTATAAAGCAGATTCCTTGCTTTAGCATTAACTTGCACAACTGCCATTTTCTCATCTGTGTATTCATCTATATCTTCAGGATCAGCAGGTGGTTGAGTAGCAGTCGGTAGAGGGTAGTTCCCCTTTTTGATAACTCGCCAGACCTTGACATCATAAGACTTTGCGTATATTTCTATAAACACAGTTTAGTGAGAAAAATATTGTCCATTGAAATACGGTGGCATCACTTGCGATGTTCCTTCTTAGAAGAGTGCTCCGATAATAACTTGATTTTCCATGATCTTTTCTCACAAGCTGTTAAGCAAAAGAAAAATGTGAGCCTTGCTCTGATACCAATTGAAAGTACCTGAGGAGGGTGAATTGCTTATTTTTAACAATATTTATCAATAGTGGACTAGATCAACAATTAGCGACTTGAGGTAAGAATAATAATAATAATAATAATAATAATAATAATAATAATAATAATAATAATAATAATAATAATAATAATAATAATAATAAATGCAGGGTTTAAATACAAGAAGTAAAGAAATCGAGATTTTTATACTTGTTCGGATTCAATGTGAATCCTAGTTGAGTCCCCTTGGGTTGCAAGGGTGTTCTCTTTCAGCGATCGTTGTTTCGTGAGTACAGATTGAATGGCGTAGCTTTACACCAATAACTTAGTCTCTATATCTCTCTTCTCATTTCTTGATATAATGTCTCGCCTGTGTTTATTTCTTTTTCTTCTCTCACTTAGTTACACAGCAGATCTAATGAAACTACAATATTTGTTTGGAGTATAACAAAAGGAGGGTAGATGGATCGATCAAAGTATATATCTCCAAGTCTAAGGTTGCACATAAATACTTTTTAGGAGAGCGTAGAAACTGAAGAAATTTGTCAGCCCAAGAGTTTTGATCCTTGGAAGAAATTAATTCTTTCTAAGAATAAGGTTAATTCTCGTTACTCTTCCTTGATGTGTAGACTTTGACAGCTTTCCATCTTTAAGTGTTGATAGCTGCCAGATTTGCTCTTTAAATATGGGTTCTTCCAATAATAGCTTCTGATTGATTATCTTGCCGGATCTTCAGTACTTCTTTTCCTTTTTAACGTTGATTCCTTTCCTTTGATTTGTTCAATCAATCCTTTTGAATGCTTCAACCAATCACTGATTGATTTCCTCCTTCAGCTTTGATTGCTTTTCTTTTTACACTTCGATTCCTTTGAATGCTTCAATCAATCTTTGATTGATTTCTTCCTTCATCTTTGATTGCTTCTCTTTTTGTACTTCGATCTTGGTTGAATTCCTTGAGTCCCTATACTAAAAGCAATTATATTATTTTTCATCATTAAAACTAAAACCCAACACTTATAAGTTGGGCATAGCTGCAAACCAGTGCAGAAAAACCGCAAGCAACAATTCCTAAAGCAAATGCTGCTAAACCTAAGCAAGTCTGGCTGAAAAAACAGCAACTACTGGAACTCATGAGGGTGTCCTACCTGCTGGAACTGGAGAGGAAGGGGAGAAGTCAGGGAAGATCTAGAGTACATCAAAACCAACACAAATGCAAGATGACCAATGGAGAAATGTAAAAGGGAAATCTGCTGCAAAAGGGCTGCAACAAACTAAGGTAGCCAATGTGAGTGTTGCAAATGGTTTTAGCCTTTTAGCTAAAACTACCAACCATCAAATGATATCAAGATGTGATGCTTTGAAGGATATGGGACAGCGTAACCATGGGAGTGATATGGTCAACTTCACTTTTTATTCCAGTATGAATTTACTAACTTGGAATGTGAGGGGCTTGAACAAGATTTATAAACAAAAAAAGTTCAAGTCGTTTATAAGAAATAATAATGTTGTTCTTATTGCAGTTTTAGAGCATAGAGTAAAGAAAATAATTGAGAAATTCAATAGGGGATGGAAATGGTATCATAATTATGAGTATAGCAGGAAGGGCAGGATTTGGATTCTCTGGGACCCTGAATACATCGCATATAGTATTGTTAGCAAGTCTAAACAATACATTCATGGTAGGGTACATGTTCCAAGGTCGAATATGGACTTCAACTTCACTACTATATATGGTTTGCATACCATTGAGGACAGAAAGAAGTTATGGGTTGATTTACGATTATTACAGCATATCCAATAGGGACCCTGGTTAGCTATGGATGATTTTAATAGTGTACTGTCTGTAGAGGATAGACAAGGTGGAACCCCAGTACAGGAAGCAGAGATCAAGGATTTTAATGAATACCTACCGGACATGGTATGACTGAGATAAGATCAGTTGGGAGAGAGTTTACTAGGACAAATAGTCATGTATTCAGCAAAATAGACAGGGAAGTAGTAAATGTTGAATGGATGCTATTATTTCCACATGTAGAGGTGATAATTTTGGACCCAAATTGCTCTGATCACTCTCCACTATGTATTAAACTGGATGAAGCTTTACAAAAAGGATCAAGAACTTTCAGATGCTTAAATTGTATAGCTGCACATGGCGATTTCTTGGAAGTGGTTACTAATGCTTGGCACAAGCTCGTTAGGGGGGGGGGGCTCATGCATAGTGTATGGAAAAAATTAAAGGAAGTAAAGACTGGCCTTAAGCAACTAAATACCAAAGAGTTTTGAGGTGTTGGTACTAAAGTAAGAGTTTTGAGGCAGCAACTTGGAGAGATTCAGGAAGTAATGAGAGTTGCTAATCATAGTCCAAAAGTATTTGTCCAGGAAAGTGAGATCAAAAAGCAATTGGAAAAGTGGGATACCATTGAGGAGAGTATTGTCAGGCAAAAATCAAGAGTGCAATGGTTACAACTTGGTGATTCTAACACTGCTTTCTTTTTTGCAAATATGAAGAACAGAATCTCCCAAAATAAGATCAAGAGATTGATTAATGTAGATGGAATTATGCTGCAAGACCAAGAGGCTATCACTGAAGAAATCACCAACTTCTACAAAACACTACTTGGATCTGCAGCAGAACAGTTGCTAGCTATAAATCCCCATGTAATGAGAGAGGGAAGGATATTGTATAGGCAACAACAATTATCACTTATTGCACCATTCACTAGGGAGGAAGTAACTAAAGCTCTATGGAGTATTGATGATCTTAAGGCGCCAGGATGTGATGGGTATAATGCCCATTTCTTCAAGAAAGCTTGGTCGGTCATAAGTGAAGATGTTACCAATGTTGTCTTTGAATTCTTCACTTCAGGGTACATCTACCAACCTATAAACTGCACTACTATTACCCTTATCCCAAAACTACAAAACCCTTCAAGAATTTATGAATTTCGGCTATCTCTTGCTGCACCATTTTGTACAAGATTATATAAAAAAAAATTGACTTCTAGAATGCAACCAGTAATAGACATGCTAGTAGATGCTAGTCAATCTGCTTTTGTTCCTGGTAGAGTCATTACGGATAATATAATTATGAGCCATGAACTAGTCAAGGGGTATGGGAGGAAGGGAATTTCACCCAGGTGTATGCTGAAAATTGATATGAGGAAAGCGTATAATTCGGTTGAATGGCCTTATCTTGAACAAATTCTTAAATGCCTGAATTTTCGTGAGCTGTTTGTACATTGGTTAATGGTCCGTATTAGCACAGTGTCTTACTCAATCATCATCAATGGTGTACCAACCACACTTTCCAGGCAAGGAAAGGGTTGAGACAAGGGGACCCCCTCTCCTCTTTCCTATTTCTCCTAGCTATGAAGTATTTGAATAGACAATTGAAGACCTTGAAGAAGCAGCCAAATTTCAATTTTCACCCTAAATGTGCAAAGCTAAACATCACTCATCTAGGGTTTGTTGATGATCTTCTACTCTTTTGTAGAGGTGACCCAATGTCTGTCCAAATGATATATGGCTGCTTCCAAGTTTTCTCCTATGCTTCAGGTGTAGTTGCAAATATTGACAAGAGCTTCATTTATTTTGGAGGGGTGGGCACTCCAGATGAAAGTACTATCCTACATACCCTGGGCTTTACAAAGGGAGAACTACATTTTTAAATACCTTGGAATCCCTCTGAGTACAAAAAGGACTGCTGTGATACAATATAAGCCTCTGTTGGATAAGATACTACACAAAAATACCTCTTAGACTGCTAGATTTTTGTCTATGTTGGAAGACTACAACTGATAAAATTTGTCCTATTCTCTGTTCAAATTTTCTGGTCCCAAGTGTTCATACTACCAAAAAAGGTGGTGCAACTGATAGAATCATTGTGCAGGAGATTCTTGTGGACTGGGGGCGCTGAGATATCAAGGAAAGCTTTGATCGCTTGAGAAAGATTGTGCTGTCCCAAAACTGCAGGTTGACTTGGTCTTCTGGATGTACAAACGTGGAATAAAGCTGCCATTGGCAAGCTCTTATGGAATTTGTGCAAAAAGAAGGACAAGTTATGGATGAAAAGGGTTCATGCTTACTACATTAAGGAGGATATGGGAGGTGCAAGCAAACCAGGCCTTGTGGGTGATAAGGAAGATCATAAAAGCTAAAGAGACCTTTGGAGAAGCAGGCTATCAAGAAGATGATGTGCTTCAGTTAACTACGCTATCTGTTAAGGAGATTTACTGCAAACTCAGAGGAGATTACCCAAGAGTTGAATGGTGGAGATTGATATGGAACAATCATAGTCCTCCTAGGTGGAATTTTATTTTGTTTCTAGGCATCCACAAGAGGCTATTTACCAAGACTAGATTGGCACAATGGTGCCACATTGATGATTTGAGTTGCCCTCTGTGTAATGCAGCAGATGAGTCCATTGATCATCTATTTTTTCAATGCCAATATTCTGCAAATGTCTGGTCTAAATTATTGAAATGGCAAGGAGTCACGAAGGTGCCGACATTGTGGCAAGTTGCGATTACATGGGCTGCTAGGCATATGCAGGGGAAGTCTACTGGTATGATGCTATTCAGAATGACTCTAGCAGCCTGCCTTTATTGTGTTTGGAATGAAAGGAATTTGAGATTGTTTCAACAGAGATCTAGACCTGCGGATATGCTAGTAGACAAGTGATTCAGGAGATTCACTATAGAGGAGTTAAAATAGCACGGTTGCAGGGGAAGTTAGCAGGTCTTAATTTCTATCCATAGTATAATCTGTTTGCTTGTTCCCTCTAGTTTGATAGGCTATGATGTTGCACGCAGATTTGGGGCTTCGTGTCCAAATCGTTCTGAGATTTCATTTTTTTTGTATGTTGTACATATTACAATTGGTAAATAAAATTCATTAATTACCAAAAAAAATAAATCCGTGAATAGTTATAATAGTGTTGTGAGCTCTCCAACAGATAATTTGTAATATAATAAATACTGCCTCAAAAGTATAATCAACGTTACCCTTTTTGGTGTTGAACAAAGTAGTCATGACAATGATGAATTAATGGAAGTATTTTTAAGTATCTTAATAGAAGAAAACGTCATCTGATCAACTGCTCCTAAAGAGGAAAAAGAAGTGACTTTTATCAATTACTGCAACTTTGTTATCTATCACAATTTCACACCACGTTGTTATCAAGCAAATCTATAACAGAAAAAGCAAGTGATTAGTAATATATATTATCATTCATGTAATAACACAAGGTTCTGGTTCTAGTGTACGCAAATAATTAAATCCCTAGGGCATCTGTGTCGACCACTTCTTAACACCTTCATTGAAAAGTACCTGTGTTTATTATTTCTCTACTCTCTCAAATTACTCGAAGTACTATGTTAATCTAGTGCTTCAACGCCTTCAGTACACAATCATCAATAAAGCTAAATTTAACTTGATTTCATGTAGGAGAGGCAAACGGGCAGGCCGGATCGGATATGGTTCGAGTTTAAAATGTGTAATGAAAAAAATAGATAAATTATCCGACCCGTCCGTATTTAATACGGATAAAAAATGAGTTAATCGGCGGATAATATGAGTAACCATATTATCCATGACTTTTTGTATATGATCACTTTTGGGAGAATTCTTAGTCTCCCTAACTGGAGGAACCCCCAATTTGAGGTTTTACAAATGTAAAAGTTAGACTCATTGATTATTCATTTTCTAAGTGGATAATATGGTTTTTATCCATATTTGATCCGTTTTTAATAAGTTCATTATACAACTCATTTCTTAGTAGATAATATGGGTGATTAACTGTTTTCTTTTAACCATTTTGTCATCCTAGTTTCTTTTCTTAAGATTCACAACTTTCCTTTCTTTTGTATACATAGTGCTGATAAAAATTTTACTCCCTTTTGTGAGTTAAAAAAAGAATTTTAACTCCGAAAAGAGACATAGCTCAATTATAACTTTTTCAAGAGTTAAAATTCTGTCGATCAATTGAACATGTACTGAAATAGAATTATTTGGAGGCTTCTTTTAAAACGTGTTCCCATTTTAAGTACTCTTTTCTCCAATAAATCATATAATGCAAGTGGTGTTGAAATTTTGCACATCAAAAAATGATCTTCAATATCGTTTAGAAATTTGCTACCTGTTGTTACGCCATACAATTGCACAATTTAACTTTCCATACCACTTCAATCACAGGTTGATTGCGCTGATTCTTAATCAGCCAAATCCAGGCTCATCGTTCTGCATCCTCACTCATAATTACAAAAATTGGCTCAAAGCTGACATTAACATCAAGTTTGAAAATTTTGGGGAAGAAGAAAATGGCGTATGAAGGTGGGCTTGGGGTCTTGTTTAGCCATTATGTTTTTAAGGCATCCCTTCGTATGAATGTAGCGTTTCTTTTTCCGTTTATAGGTACTTGGGTTTTTAAAAAGATTTTTACATAATTTAATTTTCTTTAGTTTAGGGTATTTAGAGAAATTGTAAACAAAGATACATAAAATTAGACTGATTCTTCCGTCAGGTGAAAAGACACATACCCATTAGAGGTTGTTAACGTTTAGACCCTTCATTAATCAAAAGGGGACAACATTTTTTTTTAAAAAAACCAATTTAAAGATATTAATTTTTCTCCCTCTTTATTATCTTTTAAATAGGATATTTTGATTATTTAGAAGGACATTTTAGTAATTCAACTTTTAACTTTTGAAGTTTTCATTTTTTATAATAACTAGTTTCTCTCCACGTGCGTCTGCACGTGTATACCAAATTATATAATACTCGTGTGATTTGTGAATACTATATTATCAAAATTAAAATAAAACTTTGATATTTTTTTGACTGAATATTTATTTTTACATGTAAATATAGATAGATAATCTATGAAAATTAATAACAATAAAAGTATTAGAAGAATTATGGATCAAAATGACAAAGGCAAGACTATAAATCATCAAATTTTGGATATATGTAGTTATGATAGCACAAGTTACTTTAATTTAAGAAAATACTAAAACTGATATCTATATTGACACCCAACAATAATATTTTTTGGCAGATACCACCTTCAAATATTTAATTATTTCATAGTATATTTCACTATAGGAAACACTACTATAAAAAAAATCATATATATTGTGAATATATTTGTAAAATGTTATTTATGCGTATGCAAGTAAAATGTCCATATCATTGGCTATCTTCACTTCTTTGGATTTTTTCATTGCCTTACTTGGTATTAGAGCAATTGTTTTGTTTTCTACCTTTATGGTACATTTACGTTTATTTTACTTTATTTTTCTCTATGCGAAACTCACTAAAATTATCAAATATTGGACACTTAAAAGTTGAGGATTATACAAAACATGAGTCTTTATAGTCATATGAAAATGATGCATATATATATATATA